CGTTTGCTGTAGCGCTTTTGGCGCAAATTCACCGTAGTTAGTGGCGTTCGGGAGGTGAGAACCCCAGCCATGGTCATCTGCACTCTTTGTGGACTGGACGGGCCTCGGCGGTGCTTTTCGGACACTGATTGGAGTCTGGCAAACAGCTCCCGGTCCCATGACGACAAGGATGCTGAAGGCCCGATATGCAAAAGTTGCCGCGCTAACCCACCACGGGCATATGCTATGAAACTGTGGGCCGATTGCAACAGATCGTACCATGTGTGCCACGACACCAGGTTGCCTGCCATGGAACGTGCCCTTCGAGCAATCGGCAACAGCGTCGCCAAGCGGACCCAAAAACATGATAGATTCCATGATCGGCATGATGGTTATGGTGGCTGGGTCTCGCGCGCAGTGGCATTCATGCTGTTCGGGGACATCCTCCGGAACGAGCTGGGAATCAGCAATCGGGACGTGGTAGCGGACCAGCTGGAAGGGGCAATCAGCTGTTGTGAAGATGCTGCTGAGGCGATCATGGTCCTGGACTTTTCCAAGCGCCTGGAGAAGTTGTACAAATTTGTGTGGATGAGCAGAGCACACAATTCTTTCCAGGAATTGCTCTCTGATGCTGAGGCCTACTTCGAGGATGACGACATGGCACCTCCCTACTAATGGAATAGCTGCTAGCCGGGAATTCCAGCTGTTGCTGGGCGCACGCAAAGCGTGCCAGAATCAGAAGTGTTTAATTTTGCTTTCGCTTGCCTGGCTTGACCTTGGCAATCGTGGCTGCTTCAAAAGCAGGCCGGCTCAAAGCTAGCTCTGCGCAATGGCCCTGCAGGGCGTTTCCAGTTTCGACTTGACTGTTCAGGCCTGTGCTTGAAAAAAGACAAGGGTCGCGAAAGACTGCAGTGACACCCCTCCGAACAGTCGCACAAGCATGAAACAACGAGCGCGGTTCAGTGCCGCTGCAGAAAGTGGTCGTGATCACTTAAGAACAGAAGTTGCATCTGCAGCTGCGTGATCTGCTCGAGCCCCTCTTGTGACAAGCTTTGTGTGTTTGGCCATGTCGCTGGGGAACACTCACATCAGGTTCAAGCTGTTCAAATACCAGGACTTCGGCTCCCTGAACCGACGTTCGGAGTACATGATATTGTACGAGGATGCCCGTTTCGAGCGACGTGGCACCGTGTGGTTCAGGCGAATCACGAGAGGTGGACACAGAGCCATTGCGCAGCAAGGGACTTGGTCCTGGCATGAGGACGAGAACGATCGCAACAACTGCTGGTTTACGTTGCGGCAATGGGCATGCGCCCCTGATGCAGGGATCCGCCGCCACGACGAGGTTTTTCACTTCCGTGGCCTTTGCTGTGGGTACTCGGTGTATCTCAGCCAACGTGCCGGCATCATGTTCCTGGGGTCGTTCGACTTGATCTGTAACAGATCGCTGGAGGAGGGAGAAACTTAAAGTTTCTTTGGATGCCCCGCAAGGCCAGGCTCAATGCGGGACTTAACCTCTTCAATAGCCATGCCAACGCCATCCAACAAAAGCCTGCGCAAGCTGGCCTGTTGGAAGCCCGAAACACGAGTTTTCCCCGCTTTTGTTTTGTTTCATGCATGCCGGCTCCATGCAATCTGTACAGCTTGTCAACCAAAAGCTCCCTACTAATGGAATAGCTGCTAGCCGGGAATTCCAGCTGTTGCTGGGCGGAATCAGAAGTGTTTAATTTCGTTTTCGCTTGCCTGGCTTGACCTTGGCAATCGTGGCTGCTTCAAAAGCAGGCCGGCTCCAAGCTAGCTCTGCGCAATGGCCCTGCAGGGCGTTTCGAGTTTCGACTTGACTGTTCAGGCCTGTGCTTGAAAAAAGACAAGGGTCGCGAAAGACTGCAGTGACACCCCAACTCCACCCTAAACCCGAAACCCCAAAAAACCTAAACCTTAAAGCGCAGCCGCGTCTTCGACAGTGATCCTTTGGAGATATTGAAGGTCCTGGCGCAAGAAGCTGTTCAAGTCGTGCACCCCCCTGCCACCCCAAGCCCTCAAAGCTTCTGACCGGAGCTCCTTCCTCAGCACTTTGTGCCATGTCTAGTGGAAGCAGCAGCGCAGAAAGCGCACCGGTGCAGCAGTGGGACAAACGCCTTTTTTTTGCGGTTCTGCAGAGCGCATCCTTGGATGTCAGCACGCAAGCTCGTGAACAAAGTTGTTGACCTGGAAGGTTCCGTCACTCGTCGGGCAGAGCAGTGTCATTTAATGGCGGCGCCTACTACGCCAAGTCCGGAGGACTTGGCGTAGTAGCCGCCGCCATTAGACATGGTGGAGGCTATTATGCCGACGTCAGGACAACTTCGCATAAAAGCCTCCGCCATGGCTTAGAGTTTAAGGGAAGCTAAGGCAGCTAAGCCATGGCGGCGGCTAGTATGCTGAAATCGGAGGATTTCCGCATACTCCCCGCCGCCATGGCTTCAAGGTACAGTGGTACAGAGATTAAGACACCTGCCTGCCAGAGGGACTTGGAGCAAAGAAGACTGTGGACTGTGGGAGACGATTCCACGGTGCGTGGTTTGCTGGAGGAGCCTGAAATGTTAAAACTTCCAAACTTCGTTTTCGACAGCGATCCTTTGGAGATATTGAAGGTCCCGGCGCACGGTGGGCGTCGCTGGTCTGAGAGAATTGACGTGGAGCCAGCTGCATCCTTCAGCACAGACGTGCTGTTGTCTGCTATGCACACAGACTATCACCCTGTGGTTCGGGAAATGGTCCTGAAGCTGTACAGCACTCTGGAGGAGGCCATGGCAGCCTACAATCAGAGATGCAGCGACCCCGACGCAGTCACCAAGGAGATCAACGGGGAGCAATTTGCCTCAAGGTCAACAACGGCGGCAGCGAGAGCGTGGTCGACAGGCACGCTGTGGCAGCATCTGTGAGGCAGCGAGCTGACCTTGGCGATGGTGAGCAGCTGGATGGTTTCGAGGACGAGATCCAGCCGAGGATGAAGCGGGCGAAGGACAAGCTAGGAGCGGCTTCTTTCTGAGCAGCAGGGCAATGAGGCTCTGGCTGCGGCGTTCTGCTGCTAACCAGAGCTGCAGGAAGCAAACGGTGCTACCCTTAGGCTCTGGCTGCGGCTTCCTGCTGCTGATCTTCGAGGGGGTAGGACACAGGTGCTGCATTTTGATAACTTTACACACGCCAGCGGTCAACTCCGAGGGTTTGTCGCTTGCGAGAAGCATAACAGCTGTCGCTTGTACACTTTCGTAAAGAATCATGGTAGCCGCCGGCGGGCTGCCGCCTATTTGATTGCTTGGCAAATGAGAGCAGCTCCTCACCGGACTGCTCAGTCTCACATTTCAGATAAACCAAGCACAGAGCAGGTGGATGCTGTCATGCTCCGGATTGCTGTTTGAGAAAATGTGCAAATGCGACAGAGAAGTTTTCGTTTCTTTGTTTGGCTGCAGATGGTGTTGTTTTGTGTTGAAAAAATTTAAGCCATTTAAACCATGTCCCTGTGCATGCTCCTTTGAGAACCATGGTTTCCTCGTGCTTGCCTGTTTGCGCACTGCTGCACATGTGTCTGCCCGCAGGCTTTTGGGGGCCTCAAGAGGGGCGGGGGCTTTTTCAAGCCGATGCAGTGGAAGTACGGCTTCTACGGAAGGCCAGGATCTGTGCAGGGACGGGGCCTCTCTGAAGCCTAAAATAAAATAATAGCTGAGGCAGCACCCTGTGCTAACCTGGGCTCCAGGCTGCGTTTCTAACGCTAATCTGGATGCTTGGGCTGCACCGTGCTACCCTGAGGCTCTGGCTGCGGCGTTCTGCTGCTAACCAGAGCTGCAGGAAGCAAACCGTGCTACCCTTAGGCTCTGGCTGCGGCTTCCTGCTGCTAACCAGAGCTGAAGGATGCCAAACAAAGCTGCTCGTAACCTGGTAGTCCTGTAGCTAAACATAGCAGTGTCAGGTAGCAGTTGTTGCCTGGAACAACTTACAAATATAATCTCAAACCCCCAAAAAATAAATAACCCCTGACCGCCCTGACCGCAGGTGGATGCCTGCGCCGCTCTACTACAACTACGGCGCTCCCGCGGCGCCTGGAAACTTTACGCCTCTTCCGGTTGCGCCTCCTGCCGTGGAAGAAGCCGGAGCTGCCTTCATGGCTCCGGCGGAAACTGCTAGCTGCTAACCCTGCTGGGGCCAGGGCTGCAGAGGCAGATCGGGAGCAGGACGTGGTGATGACAAAGGAGCCCACGAAGCCGCAGGGCAAGCTGAAGCCCAAACACGCAGTGGACCTCAGCAGCAGCTCGGACTCCTATGAGTCCGAGGAGGCTGCAAAAAAGCCACCGGCACCGAAGACTCCAGAGTCGCCGGAGGCTGCAGCAAAGGCACCGAAGACGCCAGAGTCGCCAGAGGCTGCAGCAAAGGAAGCGGAGCCCAGGCAAGCACCCAAAGCTCGTCGCAACAGGCGGGCGATGGATGACGACGAGGGCATGGTCAAATGCCCAATCTGCTGGAAGACTGTGAAGAAGGACGGCTTGGAGAGCCACCAGCTCTACAGCTCTTATTGTGCTGAGTGGCGAAAGAAAAGCCAGAAG